TAAAGACACCTCAACCATGGCTTCCCTTCAGACTACGGTTTCCAGGCAACCACACTCGGGCAGGAAGCATTTGTGCCTCCTACCGGGTCACTCCAGTAGTCCCAGGAGAAGCTGCGCCGATTCCTAGGCACAGGTTTGCCAGCGCTCCTCCTGGTACTCTTGCCTGCCAGCGCCGCGGTGTCTATAGAGAACCGCATTCTCACCTCCCGTTCCCTAGCTGTCCGTCGCCATGGCGCCCATCTAGTCACTTCGCACTTTTGGAGTCCTGATCCAGTCAAACAGCCTACAAGATATCTGTCCTGAAGCAGAAAACACACATTATCCCAGAGACACAGCCCTTAAAAAATGGATTCCTGGGAAATGTAGTTCTTCTGGCTTCCATGTAACGGTTCTCTAGGAAAAGAAGGACTACAATTCCCAGAAATCAAAGCAAAACAAGTCCGCCACTAAATTATGTCCCGGCTGCTTAGCTTGAATTAAATAGAGTGTGTGGTTCTTAGGTTCCTGATTTGGGTCTTACGGTTCTAAGACAAGCACATTAAATGGCCTTTTTTTTTTTTTTAAATAAGGCTTTTGCATGTAATCTAAACAATTAACTATAGAAAAAATATTCTAACTTATTGCATTTTATAATTCTTTCAGATAAAAGACCTATTCACAGTCAAAAATGTCACTGCAGATGGTAACAGTGGGTCATAACATAGCCTTAATTCAACCAGGCTTCTCACTGATGAATTTTGATGGTCAAGTTTTCTTCTTTGGCCAAAAAGGCTGGCCCAAGAGATCCTGCCCTACTGGAGTATTCCATTTTGATATAAAACAAAATCATCTCAAACTGAAGCCTGCGATTTTCTCTAACGATTCCTGCTACCTCCCTCCTCTTCGCTACCCAGCTACTTGCTCGTACAAAGGCAGCATAGAATCTGACAAGGATCAATATATCATCCACGGAGGGAAAACACCAAACAATGAGCTTTCCGATAAGATTTATATCATGTCTGTGGCTTGCAAGAACAACAAAAAAGTTACCTTCCGGTGCACAGAAAAAGACCTAGTAGGAGATGTCCCTGAAGCTAGATACGGTCATTCCATTGATGTGGTATATAGTCGCGGGAAAAGCATGGGTGTTCTCTTTGGAGGACGGTCGTACATGCCTTCTACCCAGAGAACCACAGAAAAATGGAATAGCGTAGCTGACTGCTTGCCCCGTGTTTTCTTGATAGATTTTGAGTTTGGGTGTGCTACATCATACATTCTCCCCGAACTGCAGGATGGGCTGTCTTTTCATGTTTCTATTGCCAGAAATGATACCATTTATATTTTAGGAGGACACTCACTTACCAATAACATCCGCCCTGCCAACCTGTATAGAATAAGGGTAGATCTTCCTCTAGGTAGCCCAGCAGTGAACTGTACAGTCTTGCCAGGAGGAATCTCTGTCTCCAGTGCAATCATCACTCAAACAAATAATGATGAGTTTGTTATAGTTGGTGGTTATCAACTGGAAAATCAAAAAAGGATGGTGTGCAACACTGTCTCTCTAGGGGACAACAAGATTGAAATTAGTGAGATGGAGACCCCAGACTGGACCCCCGATATTAAACATAGCAAAATATGGTTTGGAAGCAATATGGGAAATGGGACTATTTTCCTCGGCATACCAGGAGATAATAAGCAGGCTATGGCAGAAGCATTCTATTTCTATATGCTGAAATGCTCTGAAGATGAAGTGAGTGAAGAGCAGAGAGTCTTCACAAACAGTCAGACATCAACAGAAGACCCCGGGGACTCCACTCCCTTTGAAGATTCAGAAGAATTTTGTTTCAGTGCAGAAGCAACCAGTTTTGATGGCGATGATGAATTTGACACCTACAATGAAGACGATGAGGAAGATGAGTCTGTAACTGGCTACTGGATCACATGCTGCCCAACTTGTGATGTGGACATCAACACTTGGGTTCCATTCTATTCAACTGAGCTCAATAAACCTGCCATGATCTATTGTTCTCATGGAGATGGGCACTGGGTGCATGCCCAGTGCATGGATCTGGCAGAACGCACACTCATCCACTTGTCAGAAGGAAGCAACAAGTATTACTGCAATGAACATGTGCAGATAGCAAGAGCATTACAAACTCCCAAAAGAACCCTGCCCTTACAAAAACCTCCAATGAAATCTCTCCACAAAAAAGGCTCTGGGAAAGTTCTGACTCCTGCCAAGAAATCCTTTCTTAGAAGGCTGTTTGATTAGTATAGCAAAAGCCCTTCAGATTCAGGTGCATTGTTATCTAGACCTACTTTTTAAATCATAACAGTGATATAAATTTTCATTTATCTTTGTTTTTCATTTTTGTTTATTTTCATTTTTGTTTCCTGATATTTGTAGGTTGTGCTTCAGTTATATGAATTAAGTCTAATGTTTTGATATAATGTTAGTTATAATTATTCTAATGTGTGTTTTTAACATTTTTGTACAATAATTTCTTAAATAAAAATGTTATATAATTTTTGCATTAAGGATAGCAGTGATAAAGTATACATAGATACATAGAATTCTTGCATCATTTTGTAACAATCTACATGTTGAATAGTAACTAAATACCAATAAATAAACTACTATACAAAGGAATTAAATTGTTTTGTGTAATAAGTAGCCTATAGTTGATTTTAAAAGTTAAAACCAAAGTAATCCAAATTAAAAATGGGGTACAGAGCTAAACAGAGATTTCTCTTAGAGGAATATAGAATGACAGAGAAACACTTAAAGAAATGCTCAACACCCTTAGTCATCAGGGAAATGCAAATTAAAACGAGCCTGATATTTGACCTTACACCCATCAGAATGGCTAAGATCAGAAACTCAAGTGACAACATATGCTGGAAGATGTGGAGAAAGGAGAACCCTCCTCCATTGCTGGTGGGAATGTAAACTTGTACAACCACTTTGGAAATCAATCTGGTGCTTTCTCAGAAAATCAGGAATGGTGCTTCCTCAAGACCCAGCTATACCACTCCTAGGTATATACTCAAAATTTGCTCAAGTACACAACATTTGTTCAACCATGTTTGTAGCAGCTTTATTTGTAATAGCCAGAACCTGGAAACAACCCAGATGTCCCTCAGCTGAGGAATGGATACAGAAATTGTGGTACATTTACACAATGGACTACTACTCAGCAATTAAAAACAAGAAAATCATGAAAATTTTTGGCAAATGATGAGATCTAGAAATAATCACTCTGAGTGAGGTATCCCAGAAGCAGAAAGACACACCTGGTATATACTCACTTATAAGTGGATATTAGACATATAATACAGAATAAACATACTAAAATCTGTTCACCTAAAGATGTTAAGCAAGGAGGACCCTGGGTAAGACACTCAATCCTCACTCAGAAAGACAAATGGGACAGACATCAGAAGAGAGAGAAAACAGGAAACAGGACATGAGCTTACCACAGAGGGCATCTGAAAGACTGTACCCAGCAGGGTATCAAAGCAGATGCTGAGACTTATGGCCAACCTTTGGGCAGAGTGCAGGGAATCTTATGAAAGGGGGAGATAGAAAGACCTGGAGGGGACAAGAGCTCCACAAAGAGAGCAACAGAACCAAAAAATCTGGGCACAGGAGTCTTTTTTGAGACTGATACTCCAAACAAGGACCATGCATGGAGATAGCCTAGAACCCTTGCACAGATGTAGCCCATGACAGCTCAGTATCCAAGTGGGTTCCCTGATAAGGAGAACAAGGACTATCTCTGATGTGAACTCAGTGGCTGGCTCTTTGATCACCTCCCCCTGAGTGGGGAGCAACCTTACCAGGCCACAAAGGAAGACAATGCAACAGTCTTGATGCGATCTGATAATCTAGGGTCAGGTGGAAGGGGAGGAGGACCTCCCCTATCAGTGGACTTTGAGAGGGGCTTGAGAGGAGATAAGGGAGGGAGGGTGGTATTGGGAGGGGCTGAGGGAGGGGACTACAGCTGGGATACAAAGTGAAAAAACTAATTAATATAAAAAATTTAATTTAAAAAAAATGTTAAAACCAACATCAACTATATCCCACAGTCCTGCTCTTTATAAATTTTAACCCATTGGATTAAACCCATGAATGGAATACTGTACGTATAATACTCAGTAACATGAAGGAAAACCTAATCTATGTCAAGCCAGGCATGGTAACCCATGCCTGTAATCCTGGCACTTGGGATATAGAGGCAGGAAAATTGTGAGTTTGATGCTAGCCTGGGCTGAGTTCTATCTCAAAAACCCAAAAGCTTACAGAAGACAGAGCACTGGTAACATTGGCACCTACCATGCCCAAATCCTGATTTTAATGCTGTGGGACACTTCCTTGAATTATCTACATGCACTTCAGAACAGACAAAACATATTCCAACAACATGCATTTGTCTGAATCACTTTGGGGCCTCACGTGCAATTGGCAATTAATAGATCACTCCTTTGAGGATGCTCAACCATTGTCCCTCTTCTTAGAGACTGCTGTTTTCTCTAGAAATAGTCAAATGTCAAGGCCCAATAGTGTGCAGCCCTGAGTACTGCAATATCACTCTAAGCGAAAAGTGAAATATGGATGTGGGCTTACACAATGGTTTGAGACGACCTCTCTCTTGATAAAACAGAAGTTTTATCAAGAAATAGGTGATCAGTCAAAAGAAAACTTTCACATTCCTTGAAGGAAAATTCTTAATTTCTTGTGTGAAAAGCATCAAATCCCTCACTGTGATTTGACATGATTCTTTAGTCCCATCACCTCCTTCTCAGAATCCTCTCTATACCTGAGTCTCCACCATTGTTTAACACCCTTTCCCAGAAAATAAAAATAAAATAAGGTGGATGACAGCTGAGGAGAAACATTTGAACTTGACCTCTGGCTTCCATGTACACGTGTGCATAATGTGTACTTGTTTCCACATGCGCATGATCATGCACACATATATGAACACACATGCGCACACACATGCACGCACACACCACACTTTTTTTTTTAATTCCAAGATCCAAATTAAACATTATGGGACATGAAAAAGAAAAACTCACAACTAGAGAACTTCTGTCTCACTACCAAAAGAGGCTAAGGACGGGGAAGGAAAGATTCGGAAATCATGTCTGTATGTACTTGAGCAGTTTCTGTAGGCAAGGCTGCACATGTGATAGAAACTCTATTCTAACCTGGAGCCAAAATATCTCAAATGTTCTATTTTATGTCATCTTTGTTGAAGAATTGCTGTGGCAGAGATAACAAGACATGCAGACTAAGCCATTTGAAGTGATTACAAAATGCATAGTGATCGCTTAGTAAAGGGGACCCTGTGGTGCAAAGGATGACCAACTAACTCATTTGAGACAACAAAAATATAAACTTTTTTCACTTTTAATTTTTATAAATCTATTTATTTGTTGAAAACAGTTTTATTTATTACAATTTATTCACTTTGTGTCGCAGCTGTAACCCCCTTCCTTTTCTCCTCCCAACCCCACCCTCCCTCCCTCTTCTCCTCCTATGCCCCTAAATATGAACTTCTTAAAGGCGAAAATGAAAAAAAGGTTATAAAGACTGATCAGTTCATTACACTTTGATCACACAGCAGTATAGAAATACACAGATCTTGGCCTCCAAGTGAATTAGGGTGTGTGTGTGTGTGTGTGTGTGTGTGTGTGTGTGTGTGTGTCTATCTGTGTACACACGTTTCTCTGTGCATGCCCGTGTGTATGAAGGTGTACCCCTGTGAGTGTGTGTGTGCTTGTGCAAGTTGGGGGCCACAAGGCAACCACAGGTGTCATTCTTCAGGTGCCCCCCACCTTTTGGTGACAGGGTCTCACAGTGGCCTGGAACAAACCAAATAGATTGGACCAGCCGGCCATCAGAAATTGCCTCATCTCCACCTGCTAGCACTGCCATTAAAAGACAGTTCTACCACCCTGGCTGTTTATGTGGGTTCTGGGAATCAAACTCAGTCCCCCTTATATGCAAAGCTCTATAATGATCAAACTCTCTCCCTAGCTCATAAAAAAAAGATGATCCTTTTAAGCACTGATAACCCTGCTTCATCCCTTCCCTCCTAGACTTGGGCACACTTGTCTGAGAGGGTGAGACATTAATTTGTAGGCAATGTGCCACTGAAGCAAAAAAGGATGGTTAAACTTGCCTCCAGTTCCTTTACATGTACACACATAACTTTTCTCACACCTGCACAGAGTCCCTTGAGATGAATACTTTTCAAGAACATCTTGCTTGTGCCTCGCTTCATCATGGTTTAGTCTGTATCATGTGTTCGCCTCAAATTCTTCCATAGTTTCCTTTTGCACACAAGGTATATCCACTGGGTCCCATTCCACAAAGCTTCTGCCTGATTCTCCAGTAGCCCAGCCCCACCTTCCCAGTCTTTCTTAAATTCCCAAACACTCTGAATGTGTTTCTACCTCAGAGTCTCCCCAGAGGCTGTCTATTCTAGGCAACTGGCCTAGCCTCACCCCACTCCTTCCACCTCCACTTAAATGTTCTTTATTCCTGGGTGCTTTTTCTGATTCCCCACTTTAAGTTCTACTGTCATATTATACTTTATACTTATATCTTGTAATCTAGTACTTTTCCTCCTCCACACAAACTAGAGAGTTATACCGAGCACTCATTAGTTCTTATTGTTGATTTGATGTCTAGCTCCTTGTGAACCAAAACTATGATTCTTGAAACTATATCTCAGTACCAAGCATACCCTGCCTGCTTAGAAGAAACAGCTCATAAATACTTAAAATAGAGGCTGATGAGCTGCAAAAGGAGAAAATTTATTAAAAATATCACATAGCTGTAAAGCTTCGGAACCACAACAATGATGGCAAGAGACCCCAACTGTGCAATAGTGGAAATCAGGGGAAACTAACAATTGTATACTTGGACCTAAAGCCCACTTAACTGTTGGAAACAATTGCCTGACATTGTAAACCTGACTAAAAACCCACATTTAGAGGTATCGTTAAGCCTAGAGGAGGATCTACTATTACCATATTACTAAAGTAATATAGTTTGCAAGTGCCTTCTAAATGTCCATCCTTATACCCACAGATTACTGCAGCTCTCACACCTCACAAAAAGCTTTTTTTTTTTTTTTGCTACAAAATTAACTCAAAAAAATCAGTAGCCCTCCTGTATACGAAAGACAAAAGACCTGAGAAAGAAATTAGGGAAACTACACCCTTCACAATAGCCACTAATGACATAAAGTACCTTGG